CCTATTTATGCTCCTAACTTTCTTCTTCAACATTATGAAAGTAAACAGTGCTGGTCTTACACACCCAACAGGTGCATATTCAGTTAATAAGCAGTGACTTTGAAATCTGGTGGACCTATGTAGTTAAGTCCTGCTCTGCCACTCACTTGCAGGATAACCTTGGCCAGACTACGTGGCTTCTCCCAAGGCTTCACCTCCTTCTGCAAGCCCTCAGGTATTTCTGTCCACCGTGACCCACTTTACTATTAGCATGAAAGACTCTATATGGGCTGTTGTCCTTTTCTTTGTCACTCTTTCTTTGATGCCAGACGTATCTGCCCCACTTCTCCAATGTTCCAAGGGGCTTGCTTGACCTGGGGGTCTTGGTGCCCCTTGGCCATCCCTCTAAATCTTAACCTCTGTGCCCCATGCAGTCTGAGGAGCTAGAGACCTGCTCCTGCTACAGAAGCAAGACCATGGAGAGCTTCTCTCCACTTCCGTGGAGCCTGCCTGGACCAACATATAGAGGGACGGTATGTTGGATGAAGTGGCCTGAGGCCATCCATCACCACCACCCCACCCCGAACACTGACAGTCCCCTGGAACATGTCAGACCCTGAGAGCACCAGCTGTAAGGGATTTTACCACAAAGCATTAACGTGAGATGAAAGGAATATTTCCAGAGTACATGCTAGGTATAGGGCACTATGGTAACTGCCTTGAAAAATCATTCATTTAACCTTTGCAACAGCTGTATGTCTGGATTGGAGAAACTGAGGCTAAGGGAGGTTAAAGTACTTGTTTAAAAATCCCACGAAAGGTAAAAGTGGTATAACTGGGATTCAAACCTCACAGAATACTGGAGGTTAGCACCAAACACGTGGAAGGCCAAAATGCAAAACCCAGACCTTGACCCCATAGCAGGTGTCACACGCATAAATGGCTCCAGGGACCAGGAGGTCCTGTGAATGAAAGTGGCAGGCTGGGTAGGGACTCTGGTGAATCGAGAACATAAAGCCTGTCTACATGGGGTGACCACTGATCAGCTCCATTGGAGTGTTGCCATGAGGGAAAGCCCACGCAGTATGGCCAGAGAAGCCCAAATCCAGAATTTTACACACAATGTTTGTTTTAAAACACTGACAAGCCTGCTGCCTCGTGTAGAAGAAAGCCACCTGCTGACTGGGACCATTCTCACTGGATTATTACGTGAGTGAGAAATGCACTTTTCGTTTTGCTCAGCCCTGACATACTGGGGTTTCTTTATTATAGCAGCTAACATTGCTCTAAGTAATAAATGAATCAAGGGGATGGGAATGCTGCAGCTATGCCAGGAAAAAAATGCTGAACATGACATGTGCACCACGGCTGGCCGTGTCTTTTTCACACCAATAGACAGGCCGTGGAGCCAATGGATTGCAAATGGACATCTGCTGTGCTCTGTCTGATGAGGTTGACGGGCAGTTTGATCACACACACACACACACACACACACACACACACACACACACACACCCTGCTCTTGTATATATATTCTAGAATCTCAGTGTTAAAGGTAGAAGTAATGGGCTTCAGAGGCCATCTATTAAAACCTTATTTGTAGTTCAGGAAGCTGAGAGGAGGTGGCCTGGCTCAAGTCCACAGAACGAGTCAGGGGTGGCATCTCGACTAGTACCGGGTCCTCAGATTCCTCTTCCTCATTCTCTGTGGTTCATCCCAGCTTCTCTCTTGACAAAGCCTAACATCTGGATAACCCAGAAATGACCCACAAAAGGGGAAAGATGGGGCGGAATCGATTTCTCGATTCTGCGTCTACCGTTTCATCGGCTGAAGGGCATTTTTCATGATCAACTTTGTGGCTGGCAAAAAATTGAGTCTTCCAGCCAAGTCCTTCTCCCGGACTGCTTTTTTGGTGTTGTTTTGTGTCCTTTTGGACGCTATCCTCTAGCCGTGACAACTCTTGTTAACCCATGACCCCACCAGCCCCTGATTCACCCCTGTGCCTTCGAGCATGCTGTTTCTTCTCGAATGTTCTTCACCACCAAGCCCCCTCAACAAGTTAAATCACTACTTATTCTCCCTTCAAGATCCTACCTAACTGTCCCATTCTCTGTGAAGCCTTGTTCAATTCTTGCAGGCTGAGTCAGTGTTTCTTTCTGTCATGTCCCTGTGATGCCCTGTCTATGCCATTCTTTGACCACTCATGGCACAGAACCGTAATTTTTCTTCACACCTTGATGGCTCATGTGCTTCATAGCCTTCTTCCCGTCACTTAGCTTTCGGAAAGGGTGACAGTACGTACAACGTGGTCGCCACCCTCCTCTCCTTACCTGAGTTGTTCGGACCAGGAGTGGACACAGGACACAAAGTAATCAGGCCGCGGCACCCCAACCCCTTTGACACAGCCTTCTACAAGGGTTCTGCCTTTGGGGACTGGCCCTTTGGGGATGGAAAATTGGCCACATTTTCTCCATTGAACCCGCACTCAGATTTAAAAAGGGACGCTCTAGTTCGTTGTGGGGAACAGAGCTGTGAGGTCATGGCAGAGTGTCAGGGCTGGTGGCAGTGCCGGCCACGTGCAAGACAAACAAAGCATGAGCACGTTGGGAGGGGGAGGACGTGGACAGGCCTGACAGGCAGAAGGAGGAAAGATGGGGGACACCTTGCGGTTTCGGGGAGGTGGAACGTGGCCTTGCTTCCTGAGGGCTTTCAGGCCCCCGTGGCCTGCCGTGCTCCTGCCTTGGGTTCCGCAGTATCGCCCCCGCCCCCTTCATTTCTTGAACTAGCTTAATGGGTTTCTTCTTCTTGTAACCAAAAGAGCCTTGGTTAAAAGAAGTTCTACCGGCCTCTCTGGACTGTGAGTTTCTTGAGGTCAGGAACTCTGTCTTACTCTTCACGGTAGCACCAAAATGTAGCTCAAGGCACACAGGGTGCTCAAGATACATTTGCTGAAAGAGTCATGAATAAATGAATGAATGAATGTGCCTATTGGGAATTAATACAGGGCGCTGTTTGTCCAGCTGGAATCTTGCCCTACCAGGCCTTTCTAATACAAAACGCTCTTTCCCCTTTAATCATCACAGCTCCACCTCTTACGTCCTCCAGCGTCTTAAAGTCCAGACTTTGACAGGTCGCATTGTCCTGAAGCATTTTTTGCTTTAAAAATCCTGGGTCTGGCACATTGGCATCTGAGGACCTGATGGACACAAATAGGAGACACAAACAGGAGAAGACACTTTCACCTCAACCCCTTCAGCTCCAGAAGGAACCCAAGGTGACCCCCTAGACCTTTTCCTGAGGCAACATGGGGAGAAGAAAGCTGTCTTTAGAGAGATATAAGTATAGCTTTTATTTTTTTTTTAAACCAACCCAACATTTCCACTGGCAACTGTCAACATAGCTTATGACATGAACACTGTTTCTTTTTCAGCTATTTTTTCTTAAAAAATGTGTTTAAAATTAAACAGGTGTTTTTTAATTTCTTCTTTTCCCTTAAAAAATGTATTTATGTCAATGCAGAAAGCCTAAAGGTCTGTGGGCAGTCTTTTGGTGATTTCATATGTGTGGTTATTTGTGTCTGTGTGTGTGTGTGCGTGCACGTGTGTAAGTGTGTGCGTGTGTGTTTGTGTTTTAAAGCCAGGTCCTTTCAAAATTTGTTGGGAAAGGGTCTGTAGGGCACGCCAATCTCTCTATAAACCCAGGCTCCATGGGATTACGGCAGCTTAGGTTCCTCCTACTGGGGCAAGAAATAGCCCACAGCCTGGAAAAAGAGCTTCAAGAGGTTTAAAAACAAGCAGGAATGTGGGAGAGATGAGGAATTCCAGTTCCTGTCTTGTGAAAATACTTTCAAATGTGACCAGAGAGTCCAGGAGAGGTGGAAGGAGGCCCTCATTTTCTCATAAAACTCTAAGTTTTTGCATTAAATCAAGAGACACAGTCAGAGCTCTTAGTCTGGTGCATTAGGAAGTGAGGGTGTGGTAAAGCTGACATTTCTCAGAAGCACTGACATTTTACATATAATCTTTTCCCTTAAAGATCTCACTAGGTGGACATCGCATCTCTCCTGCCTCAGATATGAAGCCAAAGATGTTCTAGAAGGCATATAGCCCTTCTGTTCCCCTAGCTGCCCTATGTCGTCACATCCCATTCCTATTTTTGTCCCCTATCTCCCGTTTGGGGGTCTTCCTGCAGAAGGGTAAACATATAGACATTGACACAACGAGACAGAATTGGAAAGGCTTGGGCAGGGAAGAGAAAAATGACTTCTTGTTTTAAACTGGATTTCGACAGAAGCTTGATAGAAAGCTGTGCTCCAGCCCCAGCCCCAGTTCTTTAGCGCGCTGCCTGGGTGTGCAAACTTACTGCCACCCAAATGCCACCAGTCCATTCAAGAATGAAGAGAATGAAAGGAAAGGGGGAAAAGGACCTCGATGGAGCAAGAGACAGCTGTTACCCAGTGCAAGTGGGAGAGGGTGTGTCTGAAAGTTCGTGCTTCTACCCATCGGCTCAGACCCTGCGTTCCTTCACAGCACCGTTGTCACTAACCTCAGAGAGAAAAGACAAGATGAACAAACAAATGATGAGCAAAGCCTGATGGGAAAATGAAAGCCACCACGATAATGATGGCAATGAAAAGAGAACCCAAGCCAGCCACGTGGATAGGGCTCACTTTCGAGCCTCGCCAGTGGAGTGAGAGAATGGTGATGTATCACATTGGACAGACAGGAGAAGCCCTGCCCCCGAGGAAAGCAGAAGCAAAGGAATAATCAGAAGAAGGTGGTATCGAAGGTGGCGAAAGGGTCTGACTATGTGATGGGTCAGGGACATCGCAGGAAGATGGGCTGGAGTTGGATTTGTCGCCATTGTTGGTTTGGATTGAATTAAATACTTTGTAAAATGGGTATCTCCTCCGTTCTGTTGGATTGCTTAAGACTCTGCCCTTTCAGTTCACTGCCAGGGCCTAGGCGGGGGAAGTTCCTGGGGCTCGGGTCCTGACGCGGCCTCTCCAGGGCTGCCGCGGCTCAGAACCCCTTGATGTAGCAGTAGGCCTCCAGCGTGGCGAAGAGTATGTAGAGAAGCCACAGGCTCACAAACAGCGAAGTCGTGGCCAGCTTGCAGCCACGAGGGCCGCCCAGCTCCCCGCCCAGGTGGGGCCGCCGGCGGTACAGGAGCACGCTGACGCACACAAACGCGAAGATGGTGAAGAGGGTGACAGAGAAGGCCAGCGTGCCCGCGGACACGTGGAACTCCTGTCCCTGCAGGGCCCAGTAGATGGCGGCCACGGACCAGGCCAGGCCGATGCCCAGGAAGACGTTGACGGCGTTGCTGCCCGTGACATTGCCAATGGAGGCATCTGCGTACACGTCCTGGACGGCGGCTGCTTTGCTGGCAAACGTATCTGAAAAGAGGCAGACAGACAAGAGCTGGTGGGAGGCTGAGGCGCGGAGGGCCTGCCTTTGAGGGTGTCCAGTAAGGCAGCTGGGGCCATCAGGCCGAGCCTGGGAATGACAGGTGGGGGGTTGGGGGCTACCCCCAGCTCTGCCATTAATAAGCTGTGAGGCCTTGGATGGGTCATCTTACTTCTCTGGGCTACCCGGTCCTCATCTGCCTGCGTCGGAAAGATTCCCAAGGTTTTTTTTTTCTGGTCCTGGCATTTACTGAATGGGTTTATGGTTCTCCTTTGACTACTTTTGCAGTAAGGGGAGTTTGCTTTCCCATAATATCTCCCCAGGGAACCTTAACATCCAGGGAAGCTTCTTACAGTTAAGTGCCTGACTGCACCTGTCACACGGGGCATCTACTTATGTAACAGACTGTGAGTGAGCCCATGGGCTTAGCATTGCGCTAGGTGCTGGATTTATGGGGACAGAGGACATGCTGGGGAACCATGATGGGGAGATACAAGGGCAGCTGTGGACTCAAGGAAGACAGGGCTCTGCCTTTGCAGTTAATATACAGAGCACAGGGCCTTGCAGGCTGTTTGACATCCCTTTAGATGTCAGCATGAACTGTAAGCACTGGAAGGACTGCCAGCCACCCTTTTATCTGACAAGTTAGGAAAAATAAGGTTCAAGGAATCTACTCAAGGTAAGTTATCAGGAGATTTGACCTGAAAACCCTCATGTTAAGAGCCCTTTCCATAGCGTCACCCTACATCCAAGGAGCCTCAGCCAAAGCCACACACCAGCTGAGTGGACCACAGGATAACCTTCAAGCCCCTCATGCTGCCAGCTGTTCTCTGGACGCATTGCAAGGACTTGGATGTGCCCCAAACGCTCCCTTGCCCGGCTTATCCTGGCTTGCCTCCTTGTTGCCAATTTTCTCCCAGAGAAAACATCTTGCCTTCTATCGCCTATGACCTTGCTTTAAAAATTTTTTTTAACCTCTGATTCTCTGCAATTTCTTCCCACATCTGTTCCTTTTACCCACATCTGCTCCATCCCCTCTGACAGCTCCAGTCCCTCGAGGCCCTGGAGCACAGAAATAAATCGCACGTGGAGATTTATAAACTCCACATGGAGAGGGAAGCATGTCTGTCTTGTTTCCCATTATTGTCCCAGCAACCAGCACAAGACTGTATCAGGCTCAGTAAACATTTGTCTAATGAATAAATAAAGGCATGCTTGTTCCTCTTCATCTTTAGGTGTTTATAAGAAAAAAAAAAGAATATGTAATTCATCAGATGAAAGGACAAGAGCTTGCGAAGCTCCTTCACCTATCCTGCTGGGAGACACTTTGTACTCACAGGCGTCCTAAGCAGAGGAGGCTGCTGGGCATTTCTCCAGCACATCTTCAAGCAGGCTAACCTGCAGCCAGAGGGAAGTGGCCTATTCATCTGACGTGGAGGTTAAGAAATTGGCCACTTAACTTAAGCAGGTAACTTAACCTCTGGGGCCCCACTTGACAGATGAGTATAATAACACTCTTATTGAATAAGGTTTGGGTGAGCATTACAGGGCTAAAACAGGTGAGCTGCTTAGCACACACACTTCCTGGCACATCAAAAGTGCTCAAGAAATGTTAGCTACGTGGCAGTGACCCCTTTGACTGACTTCTGTGCACCTAAGGGGCAGAGGCTCTGTTAAGCTCAGATCTGAGATGGTAAGGAAGATAATGAGGCCAAGTGTGTAGGGGTCACTTGAACCAGGTAATATCCTCTTTGCAAATGCAAGCACCCCTCACTCTCACCTGGCACAGAGGTGCCGAACGCCACAAAGACAACAGCTGTGACCGAGTCCTTGAGGCCAATGGTGCAGCCGAAGTGGGAGGCCAGGTCCCCGATGATGGCTGTGAGCATGCCGATGATGAGAATGGAGACGACAAAGCAGGCCCAGCCGTGGCAGTACTCTGTGGGGGGCACGCAGGCAAAAAGCACCTTCCAGAAGACCGTCAGGAAGTGCATGACGTAGTCAAAGCAGGAGGGCAGCCTCTCCTCACCTGACTCATCCTCATCTTCGTCCCCTGCTGCAGGCAAGACAAACAGGCCCGGGAAAGGACAGCGGGGTCAGATCCCCATTCATGAGAAAGTCCAGTCCAACCCACATCGTAAACACCACTGGCTGCACGGAGACTCCAGCTCTCTCCTGGGCAGCCGGCGCGGGCACCAGAAAACGGGCGGGAAATTGAAAACGAGTTGGGGTGCCCCCGTGGTCAATTTGAATGCAGGGCACCCAGGGAGAGTGGGTGAGAGAGGACAGGGGAGTAGGAAAGGGAAGAAGAAGAGATGAAGAGAAAGGATGAGAGAACCTGAGAGGGACAGGGCAGTGGGGGAGAGAGGGAGGAGGATGGAGCAGGCACGGGGTTGCCTAGGTGAAGGAGAGTGAAATCAGCTGGGTTTCCACTCTTCACTGGACACCCATGGGGCTCCTCTAATCTTCCTGACGTGACTGCTACAATAACCTCGTGGTTCTGGTCATTTTCCATCCCCAGCAGGACAGCTTTCATTCCAGATCATGTGGGCATCCCGGGGAGACAGTGCCATCCTCCAAATATCCCGTGGGATGGAGCAGGGATGGGCCTTGTTTGTCCTTGCCAGGAAATGTGGGCAGAGTTGCCCATTCAGCAGTCCAGGAGGAGAGGACGTGCTGGCGCCCCGTCAAAGGCAACCTCTGTCATGTTTTGACATAACCGGTGGCAGCAGGAGTCGGGACACTTGGGTTCCAACTGCAGCTGCGCTCTGAAGAGAATCTGGAACCTGGGGTCAATCATCTTTGGTTTCTGAATCTCGGCTCCCTCATTTGAAAAAGGAGGGCGTTAGATTATGTGCCTGATATTCCGCTTATTGCCTCTATAGGGGCAAAGAAAGGTCCTCAGAGGTGGGACTGGGAGTATCTGAAGCAGGTGATAGGAAAAGAGGGGGCAGCAAACGCAGCAGCAGTGGCCCTCTCTTCCTGGCTGTACTTTGGCTCTGGTGCTGGGACCTCAGGGATGTGACCCTGTGGGTTGCTATGACAACAAAGCTTCATGAAAAGAGACAAGGCCAGGAGTGCGGGGCAGTCCAGGAGGCCTCCGTGGTGCTAAGAGGCAATGCTGTGAGTGCTGGCAAGACCCCTCCCATCCCCATGCCAACCCGCATGCAGGCCTCTGGGATGCTAGTCTGTGCTGTGGGTCCCCACTGAGGAAACCTGTCACTCACTGCCGAGGAGAGGTCTGAAATCATCCAGGGCAGGGGTTTGTCAGTCAATGCAAGGTTTTTACAAACCCCAGACCCCCACATCTCTAAATCAGAATAGTCCCGCATTTTACAGAAAAGGAAGACCAAATTAATAAGAGGACGGAATGACGAAAAAGAGAATTTCTTAAGTTCCTGTTCAGTACCAGACTGTGCCGCTTTCTACTCTCTTCGCTGAGAAAGGTGGCAATAGTTCCCTTTTTGGATGAGGAAGTCAAAGTACAGAGAGGATAGCTTGCCCCAGTTCACACAGTAGAACCAGGGTTTGAAACCAGAGATAGCCATGCTCTTCTAGTTACCCCATAGTTCTCTTCCAAAGTGACTCAGTGAAAAGGCAAACATCTAGGGTTAGAGCTGGGAAGACTGGCCACAGGGCCCTCCCAGAGACTGGTGAGTTGTTGACATGGCTGTGTTCTTGCTTCCCTGGAGCTGCCTGTGCCCATCTTGTGACCCTCTTACCTGCACTGACAGTGATGGCCTCCATGAACTGGTCCCTCCAGGAATGGGTCCCCACAACCAAGGCCAGGTTTGTCTTCCTGATCAGCTTGTCCACGGTAGTCTGTCAGGAAGATTAAAACTTGGAACCATGAGGTTAGAATGCTCAGAACCATTGTAGAGTCTGGTACTTCATGGGAATGAAAGCTACCCTGTACTCCAGGGGACTCCACGTGAGTTCTGAAAGTTATGCATGGAATGGCCTTAGGGGGTATCTTCTGGCATAGTCCTTTTCTTCAGTTGTGACTGCTGACATTGGACATTTAGAGCAATACAACAGAGAATAACACTAATGATGTCGGTAAACCTAGCCTGGAGTAGTGAACTTTAGTATATTTGTTTTAAAAAAACAATTAAATAGTGATGATACATTTAGGAGCTTTATAGCTCATTTATTCCATAGGCTATGTTATGTTTCCTCACAATATTCCTAAGATACACATGGCCAGCACTGTTTGCTCCACTTTACAAATGGGAAAACTGAGCCTGGGATAAGTGAGTTGTTCAGTTTCAACTTCACGTATTCAGTGGTGACATTGGAACAAGACTCCAGGTCTTCTACCTCCCACCTCATTACTTTATTATTCAATTACATCTCACGTATGGCCTGACCTTGAATTCATAGGACTCTTCAATGATGACCTCTAGTTTGGGGTGTTCACCCAATATTGGCTTTCCCATTTCTGCTATCCTCTTGGCTTCCTCTTCCTCCACAGTCAGCTTCCTGTCTGTCACCTCTGCAACAAAGCAAAATCAGACTAGCTTTAGCTCATTGGCCATTCCCTGGAAGTCTAAAGCTCAGGGTATTAGGCATGGGCAGTGGGCATACAGCAAATAGCTCTTGAGGATGAGGACTTTGTGTACTTTTTAGTGTCTTTTTCTATAAGGTGCTAAACACTTTATGATCATCAGACCATGAGAGTGTTCCTTGCAGGCCTGGGCTAAACGTTCCTCTTTTGATTTGATACCTGGGTGGGCAATCTGACCCAAGGATCTTCTGAGAAATAACACCAAGTGAAGTCCCAAGACGTTTGGTGAGATATCGAAGAGCTGGGAACCAAAGCCAAATCTCTTGACCTTTAACAATTTTGAACTGTTGGGCATGACTGGTCAACTACTTCATATAAGAGTTCTTGGGGGTCAGAAGCACATTTTCACCCAAAGGGAATGTCCACTGGTTCCCATTAACATCTGTCTCCAACACTCTTGGGAGTGTTCTCCTCTATAAAGGAGGAAGAAGGGATATTTCCAGGAATATCTACATTTCATACTAGTGACTATTATCCTCACCATGAGAAACTTGGAAGATTTCCCCCCAAACTTCATGATTTCCAAATGAAAGATCCCCAGGATTTCTAAGGAACCAGGCACATTTCTTCTGAAACACAAATACTTGTTCAAAAACAAAACAAAAGGAAGCTCTTCCTCTATTTCCTTTTGAGGCATCCCCTGTCACCCCTCAGAATCTTAACTCAATCACCGGTGGTCCCTTCTCATGCTGAACAGTTAGATATTTTTTGCACTTCAGCTGGTGAGTCCATTTTAAGACCACTTCACCATGAAGACGTGTTTTCTAGATTAAAGTGGAATAGAGATTGTCTTTTTATTCCCCTTTGATTAGAAAATTGCTCTTGGCGTCCTGTTTCTTTCAGAGCTCGTTTAAACATCTTTCCAGCCGAGTCCACATTCTTACATGCAATTAATTCTTTTATTTGGCTCTTTAATTGCTTTCATTCCACACAGTGAATCTCCTGGGGGGAATTCTCTAGTCCTTGAAGAATCTCAAGGACAAAATGGGTCAGAGGCCAAGAAGGTCTTCTCTTCTTTTTATCTTGGGAATTTGTGAAGCATGGGGAGGGGTGAGACTTGAGCTCTCGAGGTTGCAAGGAAAAGAATTCACTGGAAAGATGATAAGCCAAGCAGAGAGTCTGTTTTCTATAAGAATTTCTGAGTTGTCTTGAATGAAACTGGTAAGAGAGTATGCGGAGGATTCCTGAGCTGGCTGTTCTACTCAGTGCTTCTGGCACCAAACATAGAAGGCAATCCCAAAACGCTGGGGAGCTGTCCGTGGTGCTGTCCTCCCTTTCGTGTTGGTGACCACTTTAGGAAACAATTATTTCTCAACGATCAATGTCCTCCTGTACATGTCTATGCAGACACCCCCTAGCAGCCTGACTTCATTTAGTCCATATGAGCCTCTTATTAGTTAATTCTGAATATAAGTCTGGCTATGAAGTCAGTGATCCTAGAAGCCAGACTGCAAGCCACTCTGAATAAAAGTCTTTGGGAAAAGATGTATACGTAGATTCTTTAAAAGCATGGGTACGCTTTTCCTCTACTTGTAGCTTTTGGCACCATATCGCAATGCCTATCCTAGTAGTGACGGTATTATTCCACTCCTCCCTCCCCGACTCTCCCTTGTCATATTTTACATGTGCTGCGAGAACTTTATACCGATGTAATGAGCTCTCCAGTGACTTATAAATGTACCTGTCTAACCCCTTGTCTAGCTATCAATCTAGCACTATATCCATCTGGCAGGATATTGATCTAGCCACTGACCTGTCTACCCCTGTGGTGACAGTCAGTTTTTCCTTCTAGCTCTCTGCAGAAATCTCTTTGACAAATAACCAATCCTCTACCTTTTGCTCTCCCACAGCCCCACAGTACCCCACAGAGGTACTCTCTCGCTCTCTGTCTATATATATATATCTGTTAATTGATTGATTCACATGCCTTTAAATCAACTCTGATTTAGTATCTGGATTTGGTATCAATTCCTGCCTTTTTCTACTTCTGTAATTATCATTCCTTTACATTCAAATAGTTAATTTCTTGAGAGAGTCATAAGTCTCAAACCTAAAAGACCATAATTATTCTGATCACTTGTTTATGTAACTCCTCTGAATTTCAAGTGTAGAGAATAAATGACAGGTGATATCTTGATATTCAGACTGACTAAACAAACTCTTGGGTCTAGGAGAAGGAGGAGGAAGGGGAAAAAGAGAGAATGAGACTATTAATAGGATGGAAGGTTAAACAGATATTGGAAGAGGAAAGAGCTTGCCAGGTAAGACTGGAATAGATTGCCATGAATGTTCTACAGACATCCTCAGAAGGAAATGGGGCGATGCAGCCAGTGCTCTAACTCCCAGGTCCCTGAGCTTGGTTATGTAGTTCAGATTGAACATATTTTCTCTCCGTCTTTCATCACCAGGCATTGTGAATCATGTTTGCTTGGCCACCTGGGAAAATCCAAACAAGGAGTTGAGATTTCCAGTGAATTTAAAGTCTAACCAAGGGCTCCTAAACTGCAGGTGTACAGATTGAAAGATCTAGGAAATGACACCTTCTTTTCCTGTTTTAGCTTCTACTGGTATCTGTGCCAATGTGTTAAAAGTATAATGAAGCTTAAATTAAATCACAACCTTTGGTATGTGCATATGTGTGTGGCTGGTGGAGGGGTAGAGGCAAGCATTGGAACAAAAAAGCCCAAATGTCTCCTCAGACGAGAAGATGAGTGAAGTGGAGAACACCCAATGCTCTGACATTGAAACCCTGGGAGAAGAGTGGAATATATGGGGTTGGAGATAGTCATTATCCTATTGATATAAGAGGAAGCAAGAGGCCAGGGAAGCTGGAGTAATTTTTTTCCATAAAGGGAAAATGTAGGGGTTTACCTACATATATCTTTTATTTTGGTTTGAGACTCCAAGGAGGTAAATGTCCTTACTATGTACACTGCCCCTTCCTCAAACTCAGTGTACAGCCAGCCTATGGTGACTGAGTACCAATGAATTCTGTAAGACGGTTTGCCTCTCAAATGACCTTAAAATTTTTATACATTCAAAGAACTAATGAAGTATAAAATGTTATTTTAACGTATGTTGAGACGTCTTGTATAGCCCACTCTGCCTGTACGAAGAGTTACAGTATTGCCGATATGCTGGAAATGCATTCCTAACTGCTCACAAAGTTGGACATTGTCTATGATTTGATTCCACTGATGCAAGCATACTCTCAAAGTAGATGTGTTTCCTACAACAGGCTCTAGACTCTGCGTGAGAATATCTCCAACATAAATTCCCCCGAATTTCTATATACAATCAGATCATTGCCCACCCCCACCCCGCCATAATATTCTAATTCTTCTTGTTGTTCATGGCACATGTGACTTCAAGGATCAATGACTAATGAACCAAAGTTCTAGAAATTTAGGTCTCTGCTGTGATGAAGTGGAAGATCTTCAGGATCAATAAAATACCAGATTCCTTAAAAATTGCTTTTCATGTTCTCACAGCAGCTCCTGATTATTTCTCCCTGGACCCCTTAAGATCAAAGTATTTTCTTTCTCATCCCATCATGATCCTATTAGGAGAGTCAGCTCTGACTCTCATCCTCTCTTGCCCCACAGTATGAGATGACAGAAGAATTAAAACTCAGGAGAAGTCTATGACCCACCATTTCTTTGGTAAGTTTCAATTCTCTTCCTGGTCTCAGAGAGGACCAGCTATGCCTTTACTCACATCCACTAAAATGGTGCTCAAGGAATTGTCTACCCCCTCACAATTACTTCAGGTAGGGAAATATCTCCAAGTCCTTAGGAGAACTTGTTAGGTGGAGTTGGGCCCACAGTTCCTAGTAAATAAATCAAAGGACATTGGTCTTACACTAAATAATGGCACTGGCAAGAAGCAGAAAAAGGGGGGAAGACTCCCCTTACCTGGAGACAACAGGAGCGCTGTTTGCAAATGGGTACCAGACAGGGGAAGAAAGAAAAGGAAAGAGCATTAAGGTCCCATCTTAAAAGTGTCCCCAGGCTTTGTGGTTGCAGTAGCACAAGGAAAGCAGTGAGCTTAGTAGATGAGAACTGTGCAGCCACATGCAAAAGGCAGCAATTGGAGCATGCACAGCAGCAGCAACTGCAGCAAGGGGCGTGAGCTACTGGAGAGACTGCTGAGCACCAGGGGCCTGCAGCTGCAAACTTTCCCCACACCTTCCCTGCAGCTCTGAGGGCCAGGGATAGAGGAATGAGGATGGGGGAACCAAGCGGGTGGAGAAGAGACAGAGTTGGTCATTTGTGGTCTTCCATGGGATCAGGTTATCACATCCATTCTGTAAAGGAGTGAGAATCCAGTTATCTTGAAAACTGTATAGGTTGCAACCCTGACCCAGCTCTGAGTACCCCTAAAAGAATGACCTTGTGAAAAGGTAAATCCTGCAAAATGTTTTCCTTGAATAGTGTGTTATTTTAGAGAGAGAGCCTGGAGGTTGGAGGCCATGGACTCCTCCCATTTTGTATCACCTGTGCCTACAAAGTCACTGCAAAGTCCTTGTAATTAGTAGATGCTCATTAGAGATTTACTGTTGGTCACCTATTATGGCAAATATTTTTCATAGATCCTGTGGAGCTGCATCTCTGGATGGTGTTTTGTTTCAGAAAGGACAGGCTAAGTCAGAGTCCAGATATTCTGGACCAGGGAGACTGTCATACTGAAAGCTATTGGTAGATGGAGATGACAAATACAAGGTCCCTGCATGGCCTGGGAACCATGGTTTTTTTAAAGATGTACCCAGCACAGGTCATCCCTAGCCCCTGAGTTTTCACTTATGCTAAACTCTCTTAGATTTCAAGATCCAAAAATTAAAACATTCTTGTAACATACCACATTTTCACCTTGATGGTGTCTTAGTGCGGCACCTCACTCCCTGGTTCTTGTCAAATAAAAGTCTGGGAACATCCTGTTACATACTCCTGGTGCAGCTGGCGACTGAGGGAGATTGCTGAGGAAGGAGTGGGGCAGGGGGTGGGGGAAAGTGTCTGTAGATTGTTTTTTCTAAAAATCTCTAAGAATGCCACTCAGGTCTGTAATCCCATATTCACAGCCACTGAAAACACATATGGATCCAGAATCTTTATGGTACATAAGCAGGGAGAACAGCAGTTGACTTTTTCTGGTTTCTCCCATATGGAATTCCAAGGGGTAATGGATCAGTGGATCTCCTTACTACACTGAGATGATAGATAGATAGATAATAGATAGATGATAGATAGATAGATAGATAGATAGCAAGAGAACTTGTTCATTCTGCTCCTTCTATGAATCTGGACAGAAGAACCCCTCCTGCACCCCAGGTTCCAGTGGAAACTAGAGATCCAAACACATTAGTGTATCCAGGGAGGCCAAGGGGCAGCTCTTCCAGAAAGATCCCTGCTGCCCTGGTTTTTACTCAGACATCCCTCCCAACACCAGGATCATCTTTAGCACTGTGAGAGGGCTTTAAGTCAGCTGACCTGCACCATTTGCTGGTCATGTCTACACGAATCTGAGACTTTCCACTTAGCAGTTACGGATGGGTCAGTGAGATCCAGGTAGACCAACTCTTAGTGACATGATATCTCCAGGGTGTTTTTCCTACTGTTGCTGATGAGAGAAGCTGGAGCTGAACTTTCCCCTGCTTTGATCCCCAGGGTCGGGTGAGAGTCATTTATCCCTGCTCAGACATCCCAGGGACAAGCAGGAAGCAGCATAGCTCTGAGTATTTGGAAGCATTTGGGCAGCTCGTTAGGGTGAGCCCATGGATGTGGTAAGAGGGGGAGCAAACAGGCCTCATTCCTGGCGGAGAGAGCTTTCCTTTCCCACCTGAGGCTTCCAAGGTCCAGACCCAGGCCTCACATCCTTGACCATGCTGCTCAGAGTTGCTCTCAGCTGTCCACTGCTAGACCCCAGGGCTCCCTCTATTGCAAGGCAACTGTGTTTCCTATTCATCCTCCCTTATTCCCTCCCCCAACTTGTCCAGAGCATTTAATCTCACCTCTGAAGTCTGTTTTGTTTGCCAAGAATAGAATCTCCTATTTCAAATATAGTCCTTTACCTTTTTTTGTAATGCAATTGTCATTTTGACCATGCACACACTATACTATGTTGTACTGAATGCCTAAGACTCTCCCATGTAGCAGTGATAATGAAAAGCAATTTCCGCTGTGTAGTTTCTCACTCTGAGAACAGTAGGACATTCTGGAAATCAGGATGGGGTTTCATTTGACTCTGAATCTAGACAATCAACTTTTATGACCTTTCAACTTGTGCTCTAATGCCAAAATATGAGGAGATCTGAAGAAACTGAAAATGAACCCTATAGACAATAGAAACTGACAGAAGACTGACACCTTTCCTATTGGCACCTTCCATCTTGGCATCTTGGTCACTGGGAAGATCTGGAGGCATATCACACCGATAGCTCGATAAAATCCTTATTTTCTCACCTACTCCCTCCCCCAGGACTGGGCTCCACCAGGACTCTGCTTACATCTCCTTGGACAGAAAATCCAATGCAGTAAAATGGGGTCCTCAAATGAGGAGTAGCCACAGGCATTCATGTTTGGCCAAGTCTCTTGAAGACCGCAAGGTTTATCTTAGGTCACTCTCTGTCCAGCTGTTGAATGGGGTTTATTGGCGAGGCAGAAAAGAAGAGTCTCTTTACTGGTAGAATAAAGTCATGGATGGACTTCCCACCCATTCTTCTTGCCTGGAGAAGACTGCCTTCTTTTTAGCTACCCTGTGCGATCCTTTGTCCTGCTTTCATTTCCACATAAGTAGCTGGGACTGTGGAAATCGATGACACTAGTTTACAATGGCCTTAGGTGTCTGCTATGTCTATCCAATCATGAAGATGTGCATTAAATGCACAAGGGAGATGAGAATGAAGTAGGGCAGGTGTTGAGACAATTTCTGAAAATATTCTGGGTGGCAGGAGCACAATCTGGGAAGCAAGGGAACTGGAGATTTTCTCTTTTCTTCCAGCACTCTTTGGCAATCAGACTCATGGCAACATCTTCTTAGGTGGCCAACAAGAGGATGAATAATGGAAGGCAGAGAGGGCTTCTGCCTCTCCAACAGCAGGTGTAAAACCAGTGTGGGCACAGAACTGGTCAGGTCTGCAGAGAGAGTCCCCAGAAGACAAGGGGAACTGAACAATCATTCGTGTCTGAGAAGAAGAACTGGGCATGAGCCTTTGGGAGCATAGTCGCCGAATCTCTTAGATTTGTCCTTGAGTGAAAGGCTTCACGCTGCTCTTTGTCATGTGACTATGAAGTAGCTGCAGAATCATCACCTTTTTTGACAAACAAGTAGGTCTCACCGTTCTATCCTTCATGAGGTTCCAGCAGCACATCTCTCCTGAAGGGGAGTGTGAATGACCTCCTCTTGATATTTCCCAAGAGGACTCTTACCCACATATATTCCTCCAACACTTTCAAAGTCGTAGCTTCTAATCATTTTCTTCAAGGGAAGAAATCTTTCCTTACTACTACCTTGGTTGCAATGTAATCAGTCCCTTAGGCAGGTATCCCAAGATGCAGGGCCTGAGGAAAGGAGGAGAGGAGGCCACGTCTCTGGTGTGGGATGAGGGTTATCTCAAGACCTGGGTGATACGCTCATTTGCAGATGTCAAGCCAAGGCAGACTTCTGTGAACCGTCCAACACCTGTTTCTCAGAGATCAACAACAAGCAAGCCCTTCTACTGGAGTCCCTTCCATTGGAAAACCTGTAAGACCATACTCTGGGCCTGCCCAATGTCAATCCTTTTCCAGGACCCTCCGGCTAAGGAGATTTCCATACCTGGAGTTAACTACTTTCCTTTTGCAGACTCAATTTTCTGCTTTCGGGACTGCATTATCCTAAAGTAGTCTGAATAAAGTACCCTACCTTGGGCTAGAACAGAGGTAGAGTGGGATGGGGTGGGATGTCAAGGGAAGGATGAACAGCTCAGGATTCCAGACTGCACGACTAGCTCAGAAGGCAGCTTTCTCTCAGAGAGCTCTCAGAAGCGTGGCCTCTGACAATTGGTATACCTTTCCATGTTTTGCTCTACCCAACTGTGAAATAGCCAGATAAAACACTTACCTCCATGAAGGACAAAGGGGCCCATGGGCCACTCTGCAAGTGAATAACCTGCCAAGCACTCAACGGAGGTTGGGAGATGCAGCAGAAGACTCAAAGCATCATGGCAAGACGGGCTCCAGCCCCCATCCCAGACCCTCCCCCATTCAATCCGGGCTAGAAAGTGAGGGGTGGAAGGGGAACAAGGCAGGGAAGGGGCAGAGGCATGCATCGCATTACATTCCTTTCTTTATCTTCTCCTCCCCACCCACCAAGGAGTTTGCACATTTACAGGTGACTCTGTGTGTCACAGAGTCATGGTGGGGGGCTGTGAGGATGGGGAGTGCAGGGGACATTGGTAATCAGGTAATTGGAGCACAAGGCAGAAGTAACTCATTAGGGTCATGAGGGGTTGAGGCTGCAGTGTGTCCAAAAGGTGAAAAAGGAGGACGTGGAAATAAGCTATGGCTAAGAAGGCAGAGATGATACCGAAACAGGGTAAGAGCGAGAATACAGGAGGGAAAAGAATAAAACAAGTCCATTGGTCAAAAGGAGGAAGGAGGAAAAGGAAAGAAAAGGGGGGAGAAAAAAACATAGTTTCTTTTTGTTGTTGTTGCTTTTCAACTTGTTTAAATTTTTTCTTTCTTTTTGTTGTTTTACTTTGTTTTGTTTTGTTTTTAAGAATCTCACACCTGATAGTCCACGTTCCATCCATTTCGGTTCACCAAGGACAATGAAGAAATTCTCTTGCCTTTCGTATTCCTCCTCATCTACTATTTTAACCCTTACGGTTTTCCTGTAGGGACAACAAGAGAGAGAGTGTCGACTGGGTCGGTAGATTGGTTGGTCACCCGGAGCCCAGCCTTTAAAATCATTCCCCATCACTCCTGGCACATGCAGCTCAGTGCTGCCATGGTGGCTTTTGACAGGACTTGGTGGATTGAATTGCTCTTGTGTCAAAAATGGTCTTAGCTTTTCTTATCTCCTTGGTCATAGTTGTCCTTACAGGTGAGAGGGAAAGGGAGCCAGGAGGCAAGGAAAAGTTGGCAAAGGAAGGGATCCAGAAGGACAGGAGGGAAATGGGAAGGAAAAAGGGGGCTGAAGGTGGGGAGGAGTCATTTTCGATCCTGCTGACGGTTAGTAGGAAGTGAGTTGGGCAGCACATTCCACTGGGTGTCACATGGTAATTGGCATTTCTTTGGGCAGTAGGTGAACTGCTGGCCCATCGGGGGTGACCCAGGGCTCTTCTACAACAGGAAATATGTCAACAGTATCTATCTAGGGTTTTTTTTCCCTTCCTTGTGTCTATTCCCACTTGTTATGTGGGCCTCAGAAAGAAAATCTTAAAATGAAAGTATTTATGAGGTAGGGAAACCAGAGAGAGAGAGAGAGAGAGAGAGAAGGGAAGTAAAGAAGGCAGAATTCTATTATCTTTCTCATTCTTTATCTCACAGGGCTTCGGTGGTGGGAAGTAAAATAAATATGTATTAACCACGATAGGATGTAGTATTCCTTTAATATTTACAGCTGATGCACTCCTGAAAAATGTGCTAAAAATGATGTAAATCAGCAATTCTAAATCATCTTTGGACTTCTATCATATAGCGGTGATGTGTACCAAGGCCGGCTTAAATGCTGATTACCAAGGGTCTGGTGGACATGATAATGGAGGTTTCTGTTCATTTCTGGGTATCTCAACAAAGCACAGTGTCTTTTAATAAAACCAAATCATACGGGGAAGCAAAGTTTTCTTGAAAATCACTTCCTTCCAGAGACTGGCCTGAGGCTGGCTCAGGTCCGCTGTCTTTGGCAAAGTTGCCATGTGGGCCTGGGTCTCCCTGTGTGGCTTCTCCTGTTCCTTCAGGGAACCACAGTGGTGTCAACGGGTCCTAATAGTGAGCCCTAATTGTTATTTTCTGCTTTTTTTTTTTTTTTGGTTTTGTTTGTTTTTTTTTTGTGGGTTTTTTTTCTTTTCTTTCTCTCTCTCTCTCTCTCTTTTTTTTCTTCTTTTTTGGCCTGGGACCTAAATGCTCTCTAAAGGGCAAAAAAGTGCTAACAAACATAGCCTAAAAAGTCTCATCAGAGCCTCTGATGTTCCTGTTCCATCTGAAGACAGGCTCAGCTTTGTGCATTTGTGGTGTGTGTGTGTGTGTGTGTGTGTGACCTTCTGGGCACTTTTTGGACACCTTTCCACACCTTGCTCATTGGACAAAAGACAAAGCTCACTGATTGTCGAGAAGCATTTTCTGGGAATCTCTCTTGCCCTAGATATGGTACTCTACGGCTGTCTAAGGGATATGAGCCTGGCCTGTCTTTCCACTGCAGGGACTCTGCTGTGGGATGGGAAGGGGGTGCTTGCTCTGTGACCATGGGCATGGTCTGCAGGAGCATGATTGACAGCTCCCCCTTCCACAGTATGATCCATCCAGAAGAGGATTTTCTGACTGCCTATTGGAGGCTGGGGTGTATGGGGCCATTCAAATCAAAGGCAAAAGCTGCGACTGAGAAGTCCTGTGACTTCTTGGGGAAGCCTCACCTCAGGTCAGAATCCTCTCTCCCACTCTTCTAACTGCCTTGACACCTAGATGCCCTGCAGAGGGAAGACAGAAGACGGCAGGTAGGCCTTTGACCTAGACCTAGAACTCAAACCTGTACTTTCAGCTCAGTCAAGGTCAGGGAGAGAAAAACACACTTGCTAGCAGGGATTCCTAAAGCCTGTCTTGGGGAATGGGATGAACCACAAACAGAACCCCAATATAAATACATTGACTGTCAACATCCAGAGACTATCAGCTTAGCCCTGAGAAGAGCTGCGCCACAGATCTCTGTGCTGAGAGCTGGGCCAGTTTCCCAGGGCTGCCCTTCTGCCTGGGATTGCACTATCTTTTTCTTCCTTGTATCCTAAACCACTCAGGAGAAGCAGAGAGCCTCATATATGATACTCTCAGGGCTGTGGCTGGTGTTTTTTCTCTCTCGCTTTCTCTCCCTTGCGTTTTTTTCCCCATATCCATCTCCCCATCCCACAAAAAACTGCCATGGGGTCTTGAGCATCCCCCTTCCAATACCATGTGACAGGCTGGCAGGTGCTAGGACAGAGCTGGGTGCAGAGAGAATAGAGGGAGAGGGAGGGGGGAAAAGAGAGAAACAGAAAAGAAACAAGGGACAGTGAACCAGAGAGGCAGAAGAAAGGGGAAGAGAAGGAGACAAATGGATTGGAGAAAGGAGGAAAAAGAAGAGGAGAGGAGAGTGTTAACGTTAGTGTGCAGGACAGGGTGCTACACCTTTCTGAAAACTCATATCCACCATGTGGGGGCCCATCATCTCAATGAAGTAATTCTTGTTTTTCTCATGCGCCTCATGATCAATTACCTTGATGTGAATTATTTTGCTGTGGATGGAAAAATAAGTATCATAAACAAGGAGCAGAGTGGGGGGCCAGCCAGCCAGGATAAGAAACGGAAAGAGAAAGAAACAGTGAAAAGATCTAGAAAAGTCAAAGTTTGCCCCAACACCATAGGGACACGGAGGAGAGTGGCTACCCCAGGTCCCCTTCCAGCCCCACTGGGCTCCTCCTGGGCTTCGTGTGGCTTTATGGCATGATCAGACTGGAGCTCAGGCTTTGAAGTCAATGGATCTAGGTTCTAATCCTGGATATGCTAGGTGATCTTGGACGAATTATTTCCCTGAGACACAAAGGGGTTGAATAATGCGTAAATTACACCATCTCAGGGCAGTCGTGAGAGCTACGAAATAATATACGTAAAAAGGCTCAGGCATTCAGGTTCTCCTAAAGCATTTGCTTCCTTACTCTCTCTTGCTTCTGGGGCAAGGGGGAATTTAAAACAATTTTTTTTTCTTTTGAAATTAGCTGATACCGACTTGAAAGTTGTATTTTATAGAAAGGGCAGTGTGGTGGGGGGGCTGCAGTTGGAGCCTGTCCCTTTCTCTGTGGTGGTGGCTATCACAGGGAAGCCAGGAGGGCCATGTGGCTCAAGTCACACCTTCTGGTAATTCACAGCAGGCATCGAACACTACCGACCTGATCTCCAAATGAGCTTCTGCACTCAGAGGAACACACTGGCTGGATCACAGGAACTCTAGGGCTCTCTGAACTATGATTAGTTCATAAATCCTACAATGATCTTGTGACTAGCACAATTATGTTTTTTCTTTGTGTTAAAAGGAGTTGTTTTGTTAATTTAAACATTGAAAATTATAAACCAAGCCAGGAACCCTGTTTTGCATTTCTTTACTTTAGAAAAATGTATTACTAGGAGCTTTAAAAACAGAGGTGGACCTGAGCTTCTCCCAGCCTTTGCTAGATGAGGGGGATATTTCCGGATCAGACCCCGGACAAGATGTTTAAAGGTCTCTCCCAGAGGGTGTGAGACATTGCCGGACGGGGGTGGGCATGGAGCTGAGGCTCCCCTCAGCGGTGGGAAAGAAGGGGCCACGCAGAAGCTCTGCTCAGCTGCCCACGGGCATGCATCCTTTCGCACACGGATGCCCCGAGCGAGGCCTGCCCTTTGTTGAGAAGACCAAGGCCTTCCGCTCCAGCCTTTATTCTTTCGTGTAAAGTAGGAATATTGCTACATTCTGACTTGGAACAAACTCTCAGCTCTCCCGTGTTTCCCAAGTCACCGTTAGAGCTTTGCATGTCGACAGAGCTTCTGTCGGCCACACTGTCGATCCCGTAGAACAAGATGTGGGTCCGTCGCTCCTGAAGTGAATGTAAGAGCAGTTACTAACCCACCCAGCTCCCGCCACCCCAGTGCTTCAGAAACAGACTCCAAACCCTCCTCACTTGCTACACCCACCCCCAGTCACAGGAAAACCTGGCTGGTCACCAGAGATCGTGTGAGTGTCCCGCCTCTGAAAGGCCACAATACTTTGGCCTTCCCTCCTCCAGGGCCATGGCATTGGGATGAGAGACTGCCACCTGGGATCAAACCCAGCCCCCTCCTGGGCCTCAGGCAGCTTGCTAAAGCTCGCCAAGTCTCATTTGTAAAGTGGAATACTAATACCTCTTCATAGCGTTCTCAATTGAGAAAATGCATGCAAAGCACTTGGCAAGGTGTACGTTTCCTCGTAAATATTTAATAAATAGCAACTATCATTACTAAGAGTAATATGACCCCAGTCTGGTGGTTTGAGAGTAACATGTAAAGAAATCTTTTCATCTCCAGTCACTGAGTCAGAGAATAAAAGGAAATCAAGCAATAGAACTGGTGACCCAAGAGGTGGTACAGGCTGGAAATAGATGTCAGGTCAAGAAAGAATTGGATAAACCAGGATGGGAGATCCCAAATGGGTTCTTAGAGGGGCTTGGCATGTTAAAGGTGGTAGCATGGAGACAGACTCTTATATTCTCCCCAAATCTGGTTTTGTGCCCCTGTCAGTGACGAGCTCTTGGTTGGACACACCCCACGTCAGACACAGCACGGCTTGTGCTTGTTTGATTTTTAGTGAACAGATAAACAGAAGGAGAGAAGCCACTGACAACTTGGTTGAAGACAGGGAAATGAGGCCAGACATTAAGCAGCGGCAAGAGAAACTTAGGTGAGCTAGGTGGAACCCCCAGCTGGAGGGCATCATGCGTGGGGGAGGTGCGGTGTGAGCCTCCCTCCCTGAGGTGGCTCGTGCGGAAGGCACCACATCTGTTTGGGCTTAGGGTGTTACCTTGCCCGGAGAAACCCGAGAAAGTTCGCAGTTCTGCTCAAACCACACGTGAGGCCACAAGAACATTTAAATTTATTAAGAGTCACCAGCCAGGTCTCGCGTTCTCTTTCCAAACTTGTTCTCCCCCATTTCAGTCGATGACACCATCATCTATCCAAACCCAGAATCACCCAAATCCTTCCTCTCCCTCATCCTTCTCCATCACCAGCCCGACGCCCATCTCTGACCTGAAACATTTAATGCGCCCATTCTGCTATCAAGACCTAGATCAAAGCACTATTACCTCTCCCTTGGACTTTACAACAGCCTCCTAAGAGGTTTTCCTGCTCCTGACTCTGCCCTCTTCCTTAAATCCCTTCCCTAAATGACAACCAGGGTTATCTATTGAAAATAAAATCCAGGTCCTATCACGCCTCATTAATTGGAATAAATACAAAGTCTTTACCACTGCCTATAGGATCTTGTATAACCCAACTTAATTCATCACGTGGTCCATGCTTATCCTCGTCCTTTTGGTTGTCTCATAAACATTCCTTCCTCGGTGTGGCCTTCCATGGCCACGTTATCTCTTTGGGTCTCCCTCCCCACCATGCCTACCTCTCCAACCTGGGTCACCTTCTATCATGTTCCATCATGTTACTTCCTCAGTTCATTCCCTTCAGTGCACCGATCACAGCCCAAAGTCAGCTGGGTAGGTTATTAACTTACTTGTTTACAGCCTATCTGTCCACATTACAGTGTAAGCTCCCTGAGGACAGGAGCATGTCTTTCTTACTTGCCACTATAGTCCTAGTGCCTGGTGTAGAGGAGGCCCTCAATCATATCTTCCCAAGTGACTTGCTAGTGGCAAATTTCTAACGCATTAGAAATTCACAAAATTTCTAATTTCATGAAATGAATCTGAAATTCATGAAATTAATCATGAAGCTGAAGCTTCATGAAATAACTCTACTCTGCCTTTTCACAGTAAAAATGTAACTCATTAGGAACAAAAAATATACTGAAGGCTACTTTGATGGAATGACTAAGCATTCTCAGTGGCACAAAGAGGCCAGAAGCCCAAATGTCATTGAACTACACCCTCAGTGTACTTAACCTACTCTATTTGTCCAGTCTTCAGGAGCTCTCTCCAACAGCAAGCAGGGATCTAACTCATGGGTTTAGGCTAGGGCTTTTGAGCCCCGTATCTCTCCTATTCCCAATTCCTCCTTCTGCCCAGTGGCAGTTACTAAATGGTCATGGGGTCAGACCATCCCAAGCAGCTGCTCCTAAGAGCCAGTAATGCTTTCAGAGGCTCTAGGCCTGCACCTGCCTCTCCTCCGAGCCTTCTGTGGAAGGAGGTTCCAAAGCATGCAGCGTTCCCAGCCAAGACCTAACTGTGCTGCCTGGAAAAGATGCCCCCAGGAGCTCGCCCACCGGCAACCTGGAAGGGATTAGGAAACACGTTTCTGGGCTTCCTGGCTGGCCTCTCAGAACATTCCTTTATACGAGGACACCCAATTCCAAATCAGGACTTGTGAATTTCACTTTACACAAGGAAGGAATCTAATGTAATATATGCATTTACGTTGCCTTCAGCACCATGAGAACTTTCTTATTTCATCCTTACTTCAGCCACGTAAACTAGGTATTATTCCTTCCACTTTAAATAGGAGGAAACAGAAACTAACACACCATTGTAAAGCAATTATACTCCAATAAAGATGTTTAAAAAAATAAATAAAGATGAGAAAACAGATGCTCAGAGAGGTTAAGTAACTTTCCCGGAGTCACACAGCTAGTAAACAGCAGAGTTGGGATTTTGGCATATGTCCCCTATTATTCCTATAGCTTATTTTGTACAAGCGGGTGGGTAAACTCTGGCTGCCATTCCCAAGCTGTGGCCACAGTAAGAACTCTAGAATTCTCCCATTTAAACTCAGGCAGCATAGGCAGGTAATAAAGGGATCTGCCTCTGCTTTGCGATGTGAGTAGCTGGCTTCTTAACCCTTTGGCCCTTCCTTGCTGGAAATAATCTCTAAAGAATCTCTGACTTGGTGACCTCTTCCCTCCTGATTTCCACTAAATTACTCTTCACCCCATCAACAAAGGTTCCTTTTCATCATTTCTAAATTTATCCCGAGTGTTCCAGGCCACCTAATGCTCACAAAGCTTCCTTGACCTGGGGCTGCAGGACGGAGCTGGCAGCAGAACTGTCAGCCTTTCTGTGGGAGCTTCCAGAAGGCTCACATCCGTGTTGGGTTCTTCTTTTAGTCCTTTTTATCTCCCTAGTTGGTGCCAGCAGCCCCCATCTCTTGCTTTGTCAAGTTTCTGGCTTTGAACCAGGGCTGAAAAAGCCCTCCCACCTCCAATCGCAGCCTGACAACCCAACACTGACCCGACCCCGACCCCGACCAAGGTCTGGGGAAAAAGCTCCACATCTCACGAGAAGGCTTAGGATGCTTTCGCTGATCTTTCTCTTGAACATAGGTGTGGCATAGGGTCCCCGAAAACAGCGCTTCTCAAACATTGGTGTGCATATGTTTTCCCTGGGAATCTTGTTAAAATGTAAATTCTGATTAGGTAGGTCTGGTGTGGGGCCTGAAAGTCTGCATTTCTAACAAGTAACCTGGGTATTCCTATGCTGCTGGTCCAGGGCCCAGCACTTTTGGGGGAATTCTCTCTGACTCTACTAAAAACTTAGGGAAAAGGAGGCAGCTACTCAAAAAC